GTGGAAGGGGTTGAAATAAACTACCCCTATCATTCTTGTTAACGAAATTTAAAGAAAAATCTTATCAAACACATGCAAAAATTAATTTGGATAGTTTAGTTTGTTTAGAAACTTTTTATCTCTTGTATTTTTTTATAAAACTCACCGATTTGAAATTAAAAAAATAAAATGTAAAGCATTACATGTCAGGACTAAAAAAGTATTTTTAGATTAAGAATCTAGTGATAATAATGATAATAATAATAATCTAGATAATAACGTATTGCAGTAGGGTAATGTCAAATAAAACAATATTAGAAACATCCTAAAAGTGACAGCGGCCGACTAGATTTTTTTTCTAAAAAATTGACAGCTGCCCACTAGATTCTTTATCTAAAAATGTTTTTTGTCCTGACATGTAATGCTTTACATTTTATTTTTAATTTCAAATCGGTGAGTTTTATCAAAAAATACAAGAGTTTCTAAATAAACTAAACTATCAAAATTAATTTTTTTTGCATGTGTTTGATAAGATTTTTCTTTTAAATTTCATTAACAAGAATGATAGAGGGTAGTTTATTTCAACCCCTTCCACTTATTTTAAAAAAAGTGAAAAAAATTACCAGAAAGTGTGTTTTCATAACAGTAATGCTTCCGTAAAATTTCATTAGTCTATCTCTTTTCGTTTTCAAGATAAAAAATAAAAACATTATTTTTCCGCCATCTTTGTACCGCGATATCTCCCTAATAGTTGACTTTTGACCCAACGTTTATGAAGCAAACTACCCTTTATTTTGAACAAGGAAGAGAGAGAGAGAGAGAGAGAGAGAAAGAGAGAGAGAGAGAGAGAGAGACAAGCTTTTTATAAAATCTCTTAAAAAAAATTGGGGTCTATAAAATCTCGTATTCTAAACTGAATTACAAAAATTCACCACGCCATTTGAGTGTTAACAGAACTTAAGGGACATATAGGGCCATTACTATCGCTTTCCCGTAAATATTCTTATAAAGCTGCAACGATTTTTTTGCGGCTATTAAGCTATTTTGTTACCAGCGGGAAATTTAAATTCCAGTTAGTCAACACGTCGCCAAATATGTCCATGGTTGGCAAAAATGAATTTAAAAATCGCGCCTTCAATTACGTCACTAAAAGTTTAATTGCTAGCAACTATAGGTTTATTATGTGTTTTAACACGTTCATTGTTTAAGGTTCTGAACCTTATTTTGTCCGGTCCTTATGCTACAAAAAACGTATATTTCGACACTCTCAGGGGAATCTAAAGTTAATAGGGCATTTTCCGCTGACCTAGACACATCCTAAAAATAAACCATTTTCCATAATATGTTCACTGAATAAAGAACATTATCGAATAAAAATTCATATATGGTATTTTTTATCAGATTTATGGTGATAAAATACAAAAAAGAGGGTCAAAAACTTTTTGGAGGTTCATAAATCAAGACTGAATCGCTTCCTCATTAAAACACTAAATTGAACGTCAGTCCCTTTTCAAAAACTTAAGTCCTTCAGTTTCCTCTTTAGCAGGAACGTGCCCTCTCACCCTAACTATAGCCTCACATCCATTTAAAATTAGGTAAAAAATAAAATATAAATAAAAAATATAAATAAGAAAAAAAGTAAGTTTTATTATAAATAGGTTAATTTCAAAGAGTGTTAAATGTAAATTAATTCAATAAAATAGATAAGGTGATTTAATTTCTGGATTATAATAATGGGATAATATTTTAAAAAAAATGTACTGGTGTTTACTATAATCTGTTTACCTATAAGTCTCACGTTCTTGATATTTCTTCAAAATAGGATTATCCTTTTCCAGAAGGTCGACGTTTCGATGGTTTGAAGAGGGGTTGACATATCCAATCTTTGTTTATAACGAGAAAACGATTTTTGCTCAAAATGATTTATGAACTTGGAAAATAGGATCTGTTTGTTTCTCTACAAGTTTTATTGGGTTATATAATGTTTTAAAATAAATCAATCTATATATTTCTGTTTTTCTGTCTAAAATTAAACACTTAAACAAAATAAATGAAATATTTTCAATTTTATATCAGATATAACATCTGTTTTTTATTTCAAGAGTTAATTTTTTTAAAAGAGTTACCCATTTTTCCAAATATGTTAATTATATCGAAAAATATAATATAAAAAAATATTTTACTATTATTTCTTTATAATATACAAAAAAACGGTAAGATGAAAATATGTTCCTTTTATCGAGATCTACCAGCCCTCAAAATATTTGCACTTATTTAAGACTCATCCTGTATAGGGTGGGTCAAATTCGACGCTTTTAAATGGAAACACACTTTTCTATAGGAGATAGACAAAAACTAATATCGGTGTCTCGAGCTCATTTTTTGTCAAAAACATGATGGTGAAAACCGCATATCGATATCTGTTACCATTTCGGAGTTACGGGGTGTTATAAAAATATGCATTTTTAAGAAATCGCAGTAACTTTTTTGCTATGGAAAATTTTGTATTTTTATGAAAACATTTCCAAAGCACCTTTTTACGTAGAATTTAATGATTTAATTATAATTTTTTTGAAATTAATAATTTAAGAATTATCAACAGAAAATTTGATTTTTTTATGTGGGACACCCTGTATATTTTTAATTTATTGAAAATAATTTAAAATTACCTTTCCAAAAATATAACACACTTGATATTTTGCTCCATTCCTTTTCGAGATATAGGGTATATAAAAATTCAGCCGCTTTAAATAAGTAGGCTTTGAACGGCACCGGCTGTAATGCAAAAAAATTCTAGCTGTGAGCATCAATTAAAACGAAAATAATATTTGCTATGAGAGATGCAAAATTTTATAACAATTTAAACTATATTTAACCAACATCAACACATTTAAACTATATCTAATAACAATAAAAATAAATAGCAAACCAAGACATGATATTTTGCTACAGGTGTTCGACATATCGACCGTCTTCTGTTATGAACAGACGGGGCAGTTTTTGAACATTTCTCGCGGAATTCATTAACTTAGTAGGGTGAAAGATACCCTCTCATAACTGCTAAGTATTTCTAATTCTTGTCTAGATAATACGGAAGAATAAGGAACCTTTATTTTTCCGCAAATATATCCATAAGATTAGATCCATGGGCACTAAGTCACGCGGGCTCAACGGCCAACGGCTGGGATCTTGGTTGGCTATTCAATTATTCTTGAAATTGGCTGCAAAAATTTGCTGATATGTTCAGCGTTCAGAGGCGGTGCGTCGTCTTGCTGGTAAAATATGTTTTCGAGTTCCATTAAGGACATATATGGTCAATAAGGGGTCCAAAGCCTACGAGTTAAAAGTGGCGAACTTTTAAAAATTCTGTATTTCGAAGGGGATTCAGTTAATTAAAAATATAGAGGTGTCCCAAATAAAAAATCAATTTGTCGGTTGATAACTCTTAAATTATTAATTTAAAAAAAATTATACTTATACCATTTAATTCTACGCAAAAAGGTGCTTTGGAAATGTTTTCATAGAAATACAAAATTTTCCATAGTAAAAAAGTTACAGCGATTTGTTAAAAATGCACATTTTTGAAAAACACCCCGTAACTCCGAAACGGTAATAGATATTGATGTGCTGTTTTCACCATCGTGTTTTTGATGAAAATTGAGCTCCAGGCACCGATATCAGTTTTCGTCTATCTCCTATAGAAAAGGGTGTTTTCATTTAAAAGCGTCGAATTTTACCCACCCTGTACAGTAAGTAAATTATAACAGAAACAAAATAAATTGCCTATAATTTACTTTAAATTTGAAAAATTATTTTCTAAAAATAAATGAAGGAAAATTTGACTTTCGCAAGAGTATTTTGTATCAAATTTTCACCTTATTTTTTTATCGTTACTTTTAGTTATATTCAAACTTTTCTCCTACAGATTTTTTTTCTAGTTCATAGAAAAAAGTATATCAAAGTTCCTTTTTCTTCCAACTCCTCACTTTCTACATTCACCTCCTCCTCACACCCTCACTCTGGCTCTTTTGTAAGACGAACTCCGCCCGCCTGACGTGAGATGTAATGAGTATACGGCCCGGAGCCCTGATTTATATACCGGGAAATCACCCTCCTTCGTCGAGCTTACTCTCTGTTTTCTCCCATTTATTTTCTTTCTTTAGTCTTCGATTTTTTTTTATTTCCCTTACACCTTCTTTGGTGCGTTCAGACAGGAACATAGTTGTCAGACTTTTAGAATGATTTTTTTTTCATGAACAAAAATCAGGAAACACTACTCGTTCGCTCTTACTCTAGCTAGATCGTTTGCTTTTTCACTGCCTTCTATCCCTTGATGAGCTGGCATCGTCATTTATTTTCTTTGCCTAATTTGTTCAGCTTCTCTAGGCATTCTTTGATCAACTTCGAATTGATTGGTAATGAGTTGATCGCTTTTTTGTTAACCTAAAGCCAGTTCTACACTGTATCACTTTTCATGTACGTCCAGAGTGAAAAAAAAAATAAGATGTGTCTTTATTTTCCTCTGTATCTTGTTCTTTTGTCGTTCTATGGCTTTTCTACATGCTAGAAAGGCGAATATATTTCGTGGGCCTCATTTTCCGCACCGTCGAAACTGAAAATAGTTTTGTTCTAAACAAGTTTCAATTATTGTTATTAAATCTGATTTTACTATTATATTAAGATTAGATTTATCAATTAGTTCATAAATAATAGAGGACAATTCATGGGTTGGGATAGAAGTGAACAGGCTTTTGACATCGAAAGAAACGAGTGTTGCATTATGTGGAACTTATATATTTATATTATATTTTTCAAATTATCTAGCAACTCAAAAGAATTCTTTATGGCAAATTTTGATTGAAAATTGATCATGGAAGGAAGTGTTTTAGCTAGTATTTGACATAATTTATAAGAGGGAGCAAAAATATTAATTCCGCTTGAGGTTTCTTAAGTTTTTTTGTGTTAAAACTTTTGATTCTTCAACCTAGCGCCTATTTTCATCTTTACTCTCTTTCCAGGAGGAACCCAGGCATTCGACTCACACCTCCGAGGACCCGCCTTCGTCATGGAACCACCTCCACGCCTGGAATTCTCCAACTCCAGCGGCGGCTGGCTGGACTGCTCGGCCTCAGGCAGTCCGCAGCCCTCCATAGACTGGCTGAGCGTAGATGGTACTTCAGTGGGTGACGTGTCCGGTATCAGAAGGGTTCTGAGGAACGGTACGCTGTTCCTGATGCCGTTCCCTGCCGCGTCGTACCGCCAGGATATCCATAGTACGGTGTATAGGTGCGTGGCGTCCAATGCGGTGGGCAGGATTATTAGTAGGGACGTTCAAGTCAGAGCTGGTGAGTATTAGTTTTTTTTAGAATAGAGATACTTGGTACGTGCTCTTTATTTTTAAAGGAACTAAAAAAAATTGGAGTGAGTGGTCAGAATTAAAATGAATAAGCCCAATTTCCTACTATTTTAAGATAATCGTCTTTTTACGTTTATAAAATATTGTTTTTTCCGGTAGAGAAATGAATCAAGTCATACTTCACGCCTTCAGCAGCTATAGCATGTTTCTGTTTGGTTTCTGAATATTTTGTTGATTCCTTTTAGAAGTGAACTGGATCAAGTTCATAAAATTCTACTCTGTGCGCGATTTTAACATACGTGCTAAGGTTTAGAGCTAAAAAAATATTTTTTTGATAAAATGGATGACAATGAAACAAAGTCTAAACCATTTGCATCAAGTGAATCAGATTATCACTCATCTGAAAGGTCTGATTCTATCGATTCTGAAAGTATAGTTTGATTTATCATTATTTTCACTATTACTGCATCAATAAGTTAGGCTAAGTTTTTCTTACAAATACTTAGACATCTGATCTGTTGTTGATCTGAATAAAACTGTACGAGGAAGAAAAATATTATCATTTCAAATAGACGTAACGTAACACACTCTAAAATTCAACACATGAAAGATCTGAGAAAAAAATCGGAGAAAACACTATTAATAAACAATGTGAAGTCAACAAATCCCCTAATGACGTAGAAGAATGTACCGATGAACCAATTTATATCTAAAATTTCAAATATTTTCAGAGATAAAATGGTTCAAGTCCAAAAAAGTATGAACAAACATTCTTAAAAATGACCACAGTTGTATTTTGAGTTACTTTAGTTTGCAATTAAAAAAATTAAAGTATAATAAAGCATTGTGTCACGTTTTCTTCTCCAACTGGTTTTATTTTAATTAAGTAACATTAAAAAACTTTAACTCTCATTTTCTCCATAATTATCTTTTAGGACTTGATCCAGTTCACTTCTGAACCCCTCGGTTTTGATAACCGATGATTATGAATTTATCGATTTTACTGTAAATAAATTCTTACAGCATATATTTACATTGACCCATGGTTTGTTACAGTGGTTACGCAGTCATTTAAAGTGGACGTGGAAGTAATAGCAGCGGCTAGAGGTTGCACGGCAGTTCTTCGTTGTGTGGTGCCTAATTTCGTCAAGGACCTAGTACGAATTATATCGTGGGTGCAAGAGCCTAGTTTTTTTATTTACCCATCACTACAAGGAGGTGAGTCTCAACTTTTAGGAATTTTATAAATTTTCAATCCGCTTATTTATATTAATTATTACTTTTTATCGTCTTACATAATAAATCTGACTTAGAATCTGAATTGGGCGTTGTTTACTAGCTTTAATCTACTGAGGTATTTATTGGCCTGTCTATTGTCTGCAGATAGTGTCCTGTTAAAAATCTCTTGACCATCCGAAGGTTGTTCTTACTGAAATCAAGGAAAATCTTTGATTTTTTCCGGTTGTAAGTAAGTTGTAATGGTTGTAAGGCATTCTTTAACCAACTCGAATTGATAGTTACTGAGTTAATCGCTTTTAATGCTGCTTAACTTCTTTGTTTTCGATAGTTGTTCATATCTAAGATATTCTTTTTTCATAACTGGATTGCATATAATTTACATTTTCCTGTTTCTTAAAAAAACAAATAATATTTTTGTATACATTTCGACCATTTGTATGTCATACAAAAACGTTTGTTAAACATTTTATTTATTTCCATAGCAACCGTTAAAATTGCCTTTTATTTGTCAAAAATAGTAGATAAAATAGTACTTTAACTGCAAGGGCAGATTAAATGATACTTTAGCAGCGAGGATAGGTTAAAAACTTTATTTCTTCTCGCACGTTTTTTAATTGCTTTCATTTTTGAAAATGTTTGTATTTCTTTTCATAAGTTATTCGGGATTTAAATGGAAGTAGTTTGGATATGGCGTTTGTCGCCTCAGCCTGAATATCTGTTGGTAATTTACTTCTTTCGTTTTGAGCCATTTCTGGCTCCAATTCAATCAGCAATCGACACGAAAGAGAATTAAAAAATATTGACTCAAAGCTGACAACTAATAATAAATCTTTTCAGTCGATAAAATACCATTTTATCGTATTGTAAAAAATAACTAAAATTTAATATAAATATATTGTTAATTTTTTTATCATAACTTGATGGTATATGATTCCCTCTTCTTTTCATTTAACTTCTTTATGTTAAATTATATCTGGGTCAGCAAAATACGTCTAATCTTTTGATTAAAACTAGCAACCGGACGCAAAAAATCCGGACCAACGCGATGAAAGGAGATAGAAATAGGAAGAGATGCTCCTTTTTAATTGCTACTCCAAATCTATCGGCGCGGCGTGATTACGTTTTCTCTAATTAGAAGCGGCGCCATCTTTTTTTTGCCTCGTTGCTGTCGTCTAGCTTTTGGAACTTTATCTATCGAATCCCTAGATAAGTTTTTAAAATAGAAATAGTCGAGTTTCAGAGAAAAAATATTTAAGTCCGATATTTTGAACCATTATTTTAAAATAAATAGTGTATTTTAATCAAACCAAAGTATATATAAATACCTTTGAATAAGAAGACTAAGGAAGGAGCATATCAAAATCATAGGTACACCGCGATGGGCCTCAAATATGGCCGACTTAAATTCCGGTTTATCAGTGTCGTTCTAATTTTATTTAAAAAATGTAAAACTATGATGTAGGGTAGACGTGGGGTCAAGACTCAATAATTTGTTGTTTTATTTTGCGTTGTGAATAAATGTTGGTAGTTATTAAAATTGTTATAAAAATATATAATTCTAATAAAAATAGATAAGTTATAATAAGTATTTATTAACACAAACATCCGATACGCTACTGAAGCTGGTGAAGTCAAATTAACGTATCTAAATTCTTTGACATCTAATCTTTGACAAGTAATAAATAAAAGCTAAAATGCAAGAAAAATATATAATTTAGTTAATTTAAGTGAATTTTATAAATGATCGGTTTCCTACACGTATGTATATTACATAGTCACTTACTAGCGAAAAGTTGTTCCATTATTTCACTCAATTTTTGCCGAAATCTACCGCACGCTGCACAACAAACTATTTTAGAGTTTTTTTCGATAAATCGCGATAGTGTCACTGTTAATTTAAGTTCTGCCACAATTTTCATCTAGATTTACTACCTTTATACAACTATCAGTAGTAGAATAAATAATAAATAACATAAAATAAGCTCCGTAAAGACTGACAAATCCACAAAATTTCAAATCAAATTCAAATGTGTCAAATGAATCGTCAAACAGAACTGTCAAGGATCCCCACCCTAGAGAGCTTTTATGGTGGCTTTTCCGCCCACCATGCATGAATACATGGATAGCATTATGCTCCTTCCTTAGTCTTCTTATTCAAAGGGCTATATTGTAAACCAAGCTAATTCTGCATAAAAAAAATGATGCATGTAACTCATTTTACCCCAAAAGTGGATATAGAACAACCTAATTCTATGGTGACGATCTGTCTAGGCGTGAAAGTAGTTTATTTTTTTGCTTAGTACCAAATATGACGTTAATAAAAAAAAAATGTTTTACACAAACGAATATTTTTTATATAACTTTTCGATGCGAATTTAATCTTAACGAAATATCTCTTCATAGTTTGACACTTCCCGTTGACACTTCGACTCCCCCCTAAACCTCTGCGATGGTCATTTCGACGGTTTTTTTCCTAATTAGAAAACGTCAACGAACCGAGAGCTGTTTATAAAATAATAGAGCCCAGTTGAGACGAGAAAATTACTTATCGATCGACACGGTGGTGACGCTTCCAACATCCCTTAACCCCCTTTCACCACCTTCCCCTCCTCATTTACTTCCACCTCCCCCTACTGCTTTTCAACGATCGGTCTTTCCGCAGATAACACTTAATTTGTTTACACTATCTCGCCCTGGATCTATTAAAAAACATCGTAATCAGGCGCTTTACTTGGCCTAGGAAAGCTCACAGAAAAACATTATTATGTTTGACGTTTTAAGGCATCGTAGTTTGTTGTTTTTTTGCTGTAAATTACTAATTAAAAGGCACAGAATAAGAAAATATAGACCATTGTTGTTTTGCGAGAACAGTAATAGATGTAGGAGACATTTTAACCATCATCAAAAATCGCTCAAAACAAAGGTCCAAAAGATTAATTTTTCCCCAAAACCAAAAAATCTCACCCTGCAAAGGTGTATATATTCTGAATCTACATAAAATTTTCTACAAATGCTGGTATTTACATAATTTTATAGCTATGATTACTATTTTTCTAAGGTTTTTAAATTATCCTATGTTACTTAGTTGATGTTTGATGATAAATAGTAAATTATTGTGGTTGTTCGTTAATTTCAGATGGAAAATTTCATCAACTACCTTCAGGCGAATTACTCATCCACAACCTGGAGTTTAGCGACCAATTTCCTACGTACAGATGTCGCACTATGCACCGTCTCAGTCGTCAGGTCGTAGTCAGCAGTGCTGCCAACGTGAGAATCACCGGTAAGTGCCTAAATTCCCCATTAAAGATTTTTGTATTTTTGATTAAAAATTTTGAGATTTTGACCCACTGTGAAAAAAAATTTTGACCGAAAATATTGAGATTTCAACCCGTTGTTAGAAAAATAATCTAATATGAACCATTTATTTTTTAATGTTTAATAATTTACAAAGCTACTACTGCTTTATTAATTCCCAAAATCCGTTTCGCTTTTAACGGTGCCATTAAAAATCTAATTCCGAACTTCTGGCACAAAATTTTATGCCGAGCACAACGAGTTTTGACAGCTGGATGTAATTGCCAGCTGAGGAAAACACTTATCAAATTAGAAACAAGGCTTTTGAAGATTTAATGAATTTAGGCTGCGAAAATTTGACATTAATTTCATTTCGGTGTGCGTTTTGTTCGAGAAAAATTAAAAAAACATAGAATGTTTCCAGATACACAAATCTATCTCCAAAAAATTACTTTTCTCCATAGCAACCGTTAAAATTGCCTCAATCAAAAAATATCTATCAAAAATAGTAGATAAAATAGTACTTTAACAGCGAGGATAGGTTAAAAACTTTATTTCTTCTCGCACGTTTTTTAATTACTTCCATTTTGAAAATTTTTGTATTCCTTTCCATAAGTTATTCGGGATTTAAACGGAAGTAGTTTGGATATGGCGTTTGTCGCCTCAGTTTGAATATCTATTGGTAATTTAGTTATTTAGTTTTGAGCCATTTCTGGCTCGAATTCAATCAGCAATCGATACGAAAGAGAATTAAAAAATATTGACTCAAAACTGACAACTAAAGAGACAGCTTTATTTATTTGTCAAATTACATAGAAACCAACTATCATCTTGTATAAAAAATAACTATTTCTCCAATTTTAGACAAGTATAAAGTATAAAAATAAATTACAGCCTTCTTTAAAGCCAACTGGCAGTAAGTTCCGTTAAAAAATACAGATTACGGCCTAGTAATGACGTCTAGAGCTTGACCTCGCTAAAATTATAATTGATTGTCATTTCCTAGCCTTGTTTGACGCCGTTTTTTTTCGATCGTATGTTATTTTGACGTATTTAAATAGAAAGTCTTGCGAAAATCGGACAGAATTATCAAGGGAGGCACATTTTCTTTAGAGCTGAATACCGAATCCTGAGAGGGAGTCTATTCACAATAGGGAAACGTGGAGTTTTGCATTTGAAGCTCGGGATAGGTTTTCCATTTTCGATAAAAGTGTGGTTGTGTGTGTGTCTGTATAAAATGACGTATTCCGTCGGGCTGTGTAGTAAATAAAATTCTGTTCGTCAAAAAATGTATAAAAATATCTCCTGTGGTACATATTTCTTTTTTTCTTTCAGTATTAGATACAATATATATTTTCTGATATACTTTTATTTTTAGTGAAATATAAGTATACCTAATAGAATTCTACAATATTTGTTTGATACAACTGTCAAAGTCCTGCAATTTTTTACAGGAATATTACTTGAAAATTTAGTACAATACCGTATGATCGAAAAAAACGGCTTTCAGTTGGCTTGGAAATGAACATCGATGACATTTTTCTTATAATTTTACATATAAAATGACAGCGATCTTCATTTCATAGCCATCGCTGATGCCGTTTTTTTTTCGGTCATATTGTAGAATAGACTGTATATATTTGTTTGATTATTTATGTTTCAGTGATCTCTCTATGTTTATGTTTACTTATGTTTTTAATATTTTCCTGAATGTATACGTAGATCAAAATGTTATATCTCTATTTGAAAGTATTTTTCGTCTCATAAGGAACGAAATAAGTTAATATGCCTTGATGTAATATAACCTCACTTCAAGAAATAACATTTTGAAGAACGAAACAGAAAAATAACATACATTACTCTAATCTTACGAAAACAAATTTACTGAAACGTACATTCCTAAGTCAAAAATATTGTTTTGATGTGTAAAATCCAGCGGAAGGAAAATTTACAGAGACATATTTTTAGCGGTTCTTGAAATTTTTATTTTATTTTGAATTAAGTAAAAAAATGTTTTGAATTTAGGTATTTTTTTTTGTTATAGAACATAGAGGAATTGTGACACCTGTCATAGTAGAAAGTTCCGGAACTGTTACAGTGGCACAAGACGAAGGCGCAGCTTTAATTTGTATTGCTCAGGGATGCCCATCACCAGAATACAGGTAAAAACAACTACATTTTCAAAATAAATCTCATTTATTATATTTATACAGGGTGAGTTATACAGAGGTTTATATAAATATGCGCAAATATTTCCACAGGGCTGGTAGATCTCGATAAAAGAGACAAATCCAAAAATTTTTGCTTAAATTTTGAAAACCATCGTATTTTTTCAATTTCTTATTTCCTCTAAATTTAATCTACCACTTATGTTGCCGTATTATCAAAATATTCTGTTCTTTAACTGAAAATTAAAAAAATCTATATTTTTTTTGAAAAATACAAAATTTTCAAACTCATAGACGTGTATCTGGGGTCGAAATATACTAACCCTAAGAATAAGTTAATTATTTAAGACAGACCCTGTTTATAAACATCTAGTTGCCTTTGAAAGGCCACGATATGAACGAAAAAAAAACTGCGTTACAGTATTCCTTGAAAATACCAAGCAAAAAGTTTTTTGAGCAGTTTCTCTTATGTTGTTCTATATGTTCTACTACATATGTTGCCATATTATCAAAATATTCTGTCCTTTAACTGAAAATTAAAAAAAAATCTTTTATTTTCCAAAAATACAAAATTTTTAAACTTATAGACGTGTTCCCGGGATCAAAAATACCATCCCTAAAAATATGTGCAATTATTTAAGACTTACCCTGTATATAAACATATAGTCAGCTTTGGAAGGCCACGATATGAATGAAAAAAAAAAACGCGTTACACTAACCCTTGAAAATACCAATGAAAAAGTTTCTTGAACAATCTCTCTTGTTTATAACAGTTTTTCTAATAATATAAAATTTTCTGTACTTCTCTTTTCCTTGTTTTTTAACATACGTTAAGAAAAAAAATACCTCTCAAGACCGTTCTACAACATATTTCCTTTGTTTCTTTGTTCTTTATTCGTTTTTTGAGTTATTTAATAACGAAACGAAACAGAAATGAGTGTCGGGAGATTTTCTCGCTCCCGCTTCCGACCAATTCGGAAACAATTCAGCCGGATCCCTGGATTTAGCGTGTTTTTGAACAAAACGTCGCGGAAAATCCATCTGTTTTGAATTTATGGAAATGTTCTTCGTGGAGGAGCGGGGAGAATATGTTTTTTTGAGGGATGAGGGTGAAATATAAAAATAAATTAAGGTTCAATGGTCCAAGAAGAAAAATAAGGGAGAAAAACAGAAGTATTCATTCTTTTATGTTTTTTTTCAGATGGTACAATCACGGTTCAATGGAACCCAGTCTGATTATGCCTGGTCCTAGGACACGTCAGTTGGGCCCAGTGTTGGCGATTGAAGCAGTGACTGCTGAAGATGGTATGTAAATTATTTTTTTAATCCTGTTTAAAGATCATACGCTAAAGTAAGTATACTCTGTTTTTTTTCTCAGGTAAGATTTCGACAGACGATGACAGAAGAAAAGCAGATGACGTCCCATACCAATCTATTTATTTTACTAAAAAAAGTTTCTAATAATTTTAAAGTTATCTATGGATGGGTTTAAATATAAATCCGTCATGCGTCGTGTCTTGTTGTTTTTAACCAGTTTAATATGACATAAATCAAGATTGATTGACGTATTCAGTAATAAATGTCTATACCAATGTGGCGGATTCATGTCTCGAAAAAAATCCTATATGGTAAAGGTATTCAGTAATTTTCGGTCACTTCCTGTTTCACCAGAAATGGCTACAACTTTTTTTTGCAGTTAACTCTCGGTATTTTTTTACTTTTTTCCATAGCAACTGTTAAAATTGCCTTATACAGAGAAGACCAGGCTACTAGTAACATAGCAAGTTGCCGGACGAATTTACTTTTATCCGTTTTGCGTCAGGCATTACGCAGTTGCAGTTGAAGGCGGGTCAGTTTCGCTGACGCATCTGACTGATTCAGTGATACTGAACAAACAATGAACGTCAGAACACATTTTCATGTTAAATGATCAGTACATTGGTACTTTCAGTTAAAGTGAAAACCAGTTCTACTTTTTTTCATTTTGACTGATCATTATCGAATAATGAATAGAAACTGAAGCGTGAGAATTACATTTTCGTGATTTGTGCAGTTTACAAGTTAAGTTAATTAATTATTTTAATATAGTTTCACTATAGCACCCCGTTTATTTCTTCGCAATATCCAGGACCTGACCACCTACGACGTTTTTTTTTTCTTTTCTGATTCACCAGAATATTCTGTAATTCATTTGCTAATTGTAAACAAACTTCGCGAACACCTGGTTTCAATTTTGTTTTAACCATTTTCATGTCTATACGAAATCACCACATTAGAATGTTTGGACCAACTGAATACTGAATGTAGCAAAACATGAAACGTGTGAACACAATCGTTGTTTTTGTATTTATTATTTTCATTTTAAGTGTTTACCTTCACTTAAGGTAACATTTAAAATGAAAATACTTAAATATTTATTATTTGAGTGTGTTTACAAGCCAAAAATAAAAGTAAATAAGTCCTCTAAACCCAAAAAAACTATAATATTACTCTAAATAAGAAAAAGTTATAACAAGTGTTCAAAAGACCACCTTCTTGTGCTAGACAGAAGGTTAGGCGGTCGTAAAATCCCCGTCTGACATTGGCTAACATATTAGGGCTAATATAGTTTGGAAAGCCTCTCGTATTTTTACTTGAAGCTCATCCAGATTATTAGCCCTATTATGGCCATACACTTTAGATTTTACATAACCCCACAAAAGAAATCATTGGGAGAAAGACTGGTGATCTAGCGGGCCACAAAATAGTTCCATGTCCACTAACTAAACGGTTGGGAAAAGTATTGTTCAAATATTCTTGAACTCCACAATAATATTGCTATATACAGTCCAAGGCATTCTGGGCAGGGCAACCACCTCAGCAATTTGATTACTTGAAAACGTGGATTTTGATCCGCGGTAGCACAAACGAACACTTGCTTTAACTCCTGTTCTTCATTAATTAACATATCAGGCTTTTTGTGTTTTTACGGGGACACGCACCCATGTGTTTCAAAATTATTAATAACTCTTGATATAGTACGAGGCATGTTTTTAAGTAAGTACCGTTTTGCGCGCTGGTTACCTACATCTCTGGTCTATGCACAGACGCCAGTACAGTCTGATTCTTCATTGTACACGTTGTTTATTGAGTGTTTAAGATGTCTCCGACAATCGTGAGCCCCGCCGATTGTGAAGTACGGGCTGTCATACGATTTCTTAGTGCTAAAGGCGTAATATTCATCGTGAGATCTGTGAAGTTTACGGACAAAACATTATGAGTGATGGAATGGTAAGGAAATGGGTGAGAGCATTTAAAGATGGCCGCACAAATGTGCATGATGAAGAACGGAGTGGGCGTCCTTCGGTCGTTAATGAAGATTTGGTGCAGAAAGTGGACGAAAAGGTGAAAGAAAACAGATGCTTTACAATTTCATCATTGTGCGACTACTTTCCTCAATGTTCTCGTAGTGTTTTGTATCGCATTGTGACCGAGAACTTGAATTACCGGAAATTGTGTTCACGTTGGGTTCCGAAAATGTTGACGGATTTGCACAAAACGTTTAGGCAGTGCATTAACTTTCCTTAAGCAGTACCACAATGAAGGTGAAGATTTTTTAGACAAAATTGTTACTGGTGACGAAATATGGGTGGCCTACGTCACGCCAGAATCGAAACAACAGTCCATGGAATGGCGACATTCATCATCACCCAAAACAGTGAAGTTTAAGCAAACAATTTCTGCCCGGAAAATTATGTGCACAGTTTTTTGGGACAGAAAAGGAGTATTGCTAGTGGAGTTTCTGCCTCGTAATGAGACAATCAATGCAGCATCTTATTGTGAGACATTGAACAATCTGCACCGTGCAATCCAAAACAAAAAGACGGTAGCAAGTTGAGTAAGGGTATTGTTTTGCTGCATGACAATGCCCGTCCACATGTGGCTAATCGGACCAAAGATCTCATCAAATCTTTTAAATGGGAAACTCTAGATCATCCTCCATACAGCCCTGATCTGGCGCCCAGTGACTACCATTTATTCCTGCACTTGAAGAAACACCTGGGCGGTCAGCGTCTTCAAGACGATAACGAAGTCAAAACAGTTGTGATACAGTGGTTAACCAGTCAGGCGGCATAATTTTATGAGGAGGGTATTGAAAAACTGGTGCCACGTTATGACAAGTGCCTCAATATTCACGGACATTATGTAGAAAAGTAGATTAAGGTACAGGCTTTCATGTAAAAAATAAAATTATTGCGATATCTTTGCACGTTTTTTTTTTTAATTCCAAAACGGTACTTACTTAAAAACATGCCTCGTAGATAAAGATGGAAATGGCCTGTTTACAAAAGTTTGTGGAAAAATTGTTTGTATATCCCGATAAGACCTATTTTGGAAATACCATTTTACAATTTGAATTTTCTCACGAACTTCGTAAACATCCATTATTTTACTTAAAAAATAAATTTTACGTATTATGGTTAAAAATACGATTTTGGCATATTTTAACCGGCCAGAAAAAGACACGAAAAACATTAGACAATCAAATCTATTTTTCCAAGGTTCCTTGATTAAAAAACTGTGGTTTAATACAGCCATGACACTATAGATTGAAATTTAAAATACGATTTTTTTCAAGCAAAAATATCATATAAATAAAAAAACAAAAATATCTTTCGATACACTCCAACGAGTTATATATGTATGTGAGTAAATTCAAAATAAACAAAAAATAAATAGAAGAAAAATACTACTGTCGAAGCAAAATAAAAAAAAACTGTCCGCAGTAAACAAAGAGGAAAGCATTTTTAGTTTGCATGGCGATACGCACCGACTCTGTCGCTGTGTTTTTCAATTTTTTAAAGACCCCGAGTTCTTTTTATTGCGGCATTTTCTGTTTTTCTGGACGCTCGTCCAGTTCGTTTATTTTCGTTCTATTTAAGTCGATTAGTAACCAATTGGCACAGTCCGAAAATTATCGATTTTTATTTTCTCTGTTTTTATTGGTAGCTTCAAAATTCAGAGTAACAAAAAATATTTTTCTGTAGGGAAACCGGTCCTGCCATCTAGTAGTCTTAGTCCATAAACGTCTTAGGTTGATCTACTTTAAAAATATATATACAAGGATATAAGTCATGCTGGGAAATGTCTAGCTAATTTTTTCAAGTGTTATATTTCTTTTACCTTAATTTAGTTCTAAAAATGTTTAAAAATATAAAAATGATTTCTATTACTTTTTCACTTGGCTTTGACAAAACTGTAAAATATTGAAAGTGAGGTAGGAAATTTCATTTCAATATATAATTTTTTTATATAAATCAAAATTAGGCATGACATTTATAGGACAGACTCATATTTTCTCTCTCTCTGACCTCACCAAACAACATAACCAAATCTATTTTATTTCAAATCGATCCAAAATTTTTATCCATCTGTAACCCTGTATGCCAGGAAAAAAGGTTTTTCCCACTTTGAGAGTGGATACCGTGATGTTTGAGGTTCGATTTCATCGATCACCCCTTAAACGGTTTGCTAAATAGATGGCGGTAACAATAGTTTCTGGAATGAGATGCCGGAAATCGGGAGCTTGATGGATTAAAACTGGGAAGGAAGGAAAAAAAGGAGGATTGGAGAAAAATTGTGCGGTTTGGGCGGTGCTATAAATCAGCATAATCGAATAGTCTTCTTTCTTTCTTTTTTTTAGATATTTATTAGATTTATTTTTTAAATTTCTAAAATGTATGAAGGGCTTTCAGAAAGGAAGCATTCGGCTTCAGCATTCAAGCAAAGCATTCAGCTTCAACATTCAAGCAAAGCATTCAGCTTTCAGAGAAGTCATTGTTCAGAAAAATCTAGATTTTGACTGAAAAATTTTCTGATGAGAATTTTTATTATGTTTTAGGTGGAACGTATCGTTGCTCAGCATCAAACGCCGGTGGTGAAGCTAGTTCCGACATACGTCTCATCGTTTCCACTCCTTTGCACGTAGAAATTTCACCTCCCTTGCTCAGTGTGCATATGGGAGGAAGTGCAGAATTCAGGTGAGATTTTAAAGCATTAAGTTTTAATGCTACAGCTCGCACAGAACATTACTAGTCATCCCTTAAGTGTCTTAAAAAGAGAATTCCACTTCTTTCTTCATTCCAGGTGTGTGGTATCCACACAATCTGGAGGGCCCCATTTGATCACGTGGTACAAGGATGGGAGGCAGTTGCCCAGCACTGGGAGAGGACCCAGTGAAAGCCTTATTGTCAACAATGTGGGCAGGGAAGACAGAGGCATGTACCAGTGTGTTGTAAGAAGAGCTGAGGGAGATACAGCCCAAGCATCTTCTGAGCTACAATTAGGAGGTGAGCCATTTTTAAATTTATTTCTATATGAAAGTATAAAATGTGTTTTTTGATCAAATTTTGGCGATTTAAAAAATTATGGGGTTTCCGATGGTAACATCAAAGATTAGGTATCCTAGGAATTAGGGACAAGATTTTTATCTGTATAAGTATACAGATAAAAATCTTGTCCCTAATTCGTGGTACGAAAATTGTTTTTTATGGTGATGTGCAAACGAGTCAAATTTCCTGTGCGTAAAAATAAACTCGCGTAAAATAACAATAAACAGCGTAATAGAGAGATATCGCTAAACGGAATAGCGTGCATGGACGTTAATAAGGCCAGGTGTTATTTCCTTTACGTGAGGTGGTATTAATTCTCTTCATTTATAGTTATCGGATCGGAAAGAATTCTGATCGCGTCGCGTCGCGTCTCTCTAATAACTTAACCTAACTTTGAATTTAAAACTTTGAAATTGTTTTGTTTACTAGGTATTTTAAAACTAAAGGGCTAAAGTGCTTATTTCGAGTGCTTTATTGTTCAACGTCTGCCAGTGGGTTTAGGGCAACCAGCATCAAATTCTCTTAGAAGGGCTAAGTCGTCATCTGCTGTAAAACTAAGACTCTTTATAGGTTCTTTAGTATTGGAAGAGGTGGAATCCATATTTTGGGCCATATTTATTTAATTAAAACTAATCCCAGCTACTTAAATATCAAATTACCTAATAAAACTAAAGCAATAATTCAAAACAATTCAAACATAACCTAAAATAAAAGATCTCGCCGGCTGGCTCCGGTTGTCAAATCCCGCATGCCATTTAAGCAATTTTTAAACGTTATCAGAGGTTATTTAGAAAGAGCGCTTGGTGTAATTGATCCGCAAATTACGTCAAGCGGTAACGTTATTAGCGGGTGTTGCGTTAAAAATTGACTCGCGCATATCGTAACCATGATAAGGTACGCGTAAATACTGGATGACGCTATTCGGTTTTCCGATATCTCTCTAATAACTGTGCCGGTCAGGCGCTGTGCACAATTTTACAGGCCATAAGTGGGCATGCTATGTGCGCAAACTAGTCACCTAACTAGTGCCCGATTCCGAAAATTGGAGCCACGAAAAACAATAAAGTAAAAACAAAGATTATAATCTGTATAATCTGTGGTAACATAGGGTTTTTTTTGCCAGTTTTTTTTAGAATTTTTACTTTTGTAGGTGTTATACAGGGTGTTTGAAAAAACATGTGCCATCTCTCGTGGGGATATTCCTCACGTAAAAACTAGATTTATTTTTCATATCAACATAGGATTCTGCTTTGTTTCGTCGCTACAGGGTGAAGTCTTAGTAATATTTTGATTTTTTATAATTTTCTTTAAAGCACTTTTAGTGATTAGAATGAATGAAATTTTGGGGTAAAAGTTACTATAAGTGCTACATATTTTAATGCTAAAAAGTGTCGATAAATTCATCAGGGACGTGCCTATGGGTTATCACTGGAATATTAAAAAAAACATGTACGTCACTGGCTTTTTTCTTTTGATATCAATATTGTGTAGGCCGTTTAATGCCAGTTAAAAGTTATCTCTTGATATTTTGTCGAATTCGGCCTCCTTGATGAGATAAACGCAATTTTATTGATCACAATTTATAAAATTAAAATAAAAATAAAATTAATAAATTATATATTTTACGTAATTTATTATTAAATAATTAGTAATAGTAATTATTATTAAATATTACTATTAGTCCAACATAGAGCAATTTCAAATAAAAAAATAATGGTAAGATAATTACAAAAAACCCACTTTTAAAAAAACACATCTCCCCACGAGAGATGGCACATGTATTTTGAAACACCCTGTATAAGTGTTAAGGGATTCTTTCTGATTCTGATCCCATTTTCTTTAAAATCTCTGCCTTTCAACATAAATCAACCTCTCAAATCTCTTCAACGACAACTCTAATGTGTTTCTAATTTTGTTTCACCCGGTGTAAGATTCCTAGTGACTTTATTTTTAATCTTTGTACGGCTTAAGGCGCCCAGAGACAATTAAATACGGATTTAAAATGCTAAACCGCCGGATTTTCGAAGTTTATAAAGTTAATTATTGTTCCACTGTGTTATTTATGGCTGGAAGTTTGGCGAATTTTAATAGATAGAACAAGGGGGGTTTAAGTATCAGAGTTTAAAAGTGTATTAAAGTATGTTTGACAAATATCACATCAAGCTTAGAATGTTTCTTAGAATCGTTCTAATTAAGAATAAAAAATAAAAATCATACTCTCTGTGGCGAGGCTGTATCTTTGGCATTACAGGCGAGGCACAAAAAGTAATTTTTACTTCGAATAGAACATGTTAGTTTAATTAAAACACACAAATAAATTTTTAAACAATTTCAAGCGTTGCAAATGATATAAAATTATTTAAAAATAACTTGTAAGTAATTATGTATCGAGAAACTATGGTTATGCTCGTTGAATTTGACACTTTTGTCAGTTTAATAATATATTTTCGTACATTTGTGCTATAATTTGTGCTTAGGCGTAAAAGTGCTTTACTTTTGTGCCTAGGCGTTAAAATGACTTTTTTATATCGTCAATCAGGTGCCGGAAAGTGAAATAGCAAAAGCTGTTCCACCGTTTCAACGGAAATTTCAAATAAAATAGTTCCAGCCTCGGGCGCTAGGTGGTAGTGCAATTAATTTTTAGGTTAAGAAGTTGCTACTAGTTATTGCCAGATGGCGTTCAATCAGATTTTTTTTCTAGTTTCCATAGTTTCCAACGGCCATTGTCATACTATTGTCAAATTCTCAAAAAATATTGTCGTTGTCATAGCGCCAATCATAATATTATCATAGATAAAAGAAAATAATCTTCTATTAAGATTGATATGAAACTTAATAGTAAAATTTTGGGTCAAAGCGCCCCTCCGTGTTCTTAGTAGGGACTACGTTTAACCCAGCGCCTTCGCCTTTTTTGCTGTAAAACAAATCAACATTTTTATTGTTCTTTTTTCTGTTCAACTCTCGAGCGAGAGTGTTTACGTAATCATTTTAAACATTTTATATTTGGGAATGTCTGAATTTGTTAGGTTGTCGTGTAGTGTGCTTCTCGAGGGAATAATTTGAGAATAGTACAGTGTTCTTGTATGGAAATATCTAGATGTTATTGCCTATAAAACTACAGCAAGTGTATAAGTATGTTGTGTAGTGTTTACCACTTTATTGTGTGTTTAAGGAATACGTCGATTTTTAAGTTCATTAACATAATTTTTATGTAAGTAGTTTACATATGTATATGTTTATATGATGTGTTGTACAATCATAAGTTGTGGCCCAATGAATGAATCCTCTATTTTTTTTATTTTTTGAAATACTGTAAAAGATTTGATAGTTACTTAGATTTTATGCCATTTTAGAACACTCTGAAGACGTGGTTTTAATATTTTAAATATCTTATAACTGGATTGTGTTTGAATTTTTTTGTTTTAGAGGTAGTTTTTAGTTAGTAAATATGGGTATTATAATTATGAATATAGATTTGTTATTTTATTTAAAGTGAATAAATTAATGGGTTATTTTATGATTTATCCCTTTTAACTCTTATGAACGGGTATTTTAAATATTTCTAAATACAGGATGGGTCGAACAAAACTTCGGCAGCATATTCTGCAGATAAAATAAATAAAAAGTTTGTATAAATGTATGTCCTAAAATACCTAGTTTCGGAGATACAGAGTGTAGAAGTTTCATTTTATCTCGATTTTTCTAAATAATTCCTGAAGTAATGTCAATATCTGGATGAAAATTGGTGTCTGGGAGTTTGTAATACGAGAAATTTGATTTTGATGTCAAATGACTCCTATTTGTAGGGGGCGCCACCTACATGCGTTTTGGCTGTTTTGAAGAGTAATAACTTTTCGACGGTACCTGTAAAACTACTGACTAAAAATATTCATTACCATGACTTTCTACGTAAAAATGTCTCTTGGTAAAATCGCTACGAGCAACCGTTCTCAAGATATTTAAAATGTAAGTGGTCAATACATGTCATTATTGAAAAGATAAGCACACGTTGAATAGAGTTATTTGACTGAAATAATAAATTTTTATTTTTAAATTAATCATAAATTTTTCTGCGAAAAATGATGATTAAACAGTTTCTGTTGAACTTTTGACACATTTCAGTCTAATAACTATCTGGTCAACATATGTTTAATTTGTCAATGATGACAGGTATTGATAATTTCAATTTCAAATATCTCGAGAACCATTACTCGTAGCGATTTTACCAAGAGACCTTTTTAATAAAAAAAGTTGTGAATATATATTTTTTACTTAGTAGTTTTATACGGGTATGGATGAAAAGTTATTATTCCTCAAACCAGTTAAAGTGTATATAGGTGGCGCCCTCTACAAGTAGGAGTCATATTGACATGAAAATCAATCAAATCTCATGCCCAAAACTCCCAAACACCAATTTTCATCCAAATATTGACGTTACTTCTAAATTATTTGGAAAAATCTCGAAATAGAAATTAAATTTCTACACCCTGTATCTCTGAAATTAAGCCATTTTAGGACATACATTTATACGAACTTTTTACTTATTTTAATCTGCAGAATATACTGCCGAAGTTTCCGGAATACAGTGTTCTTCGGACCACCCTGTATATTTTTAACATCTAGTGTTATAAAATCTGTATTATATACAACCCTTAAAATGGGGTGGTATTTGATATTTATAAGTATTTTTGCAAGGAATTTGGATATTTAGTTGATTAAGTTGAGTTTGAATTCACAAAAGTAGAGGATATAAAGCGGCAATTTTGTTTCACCACATAGAAACCTAATTTTAAGGTGTTTTTTAATATTTTAACATTATTGGGGTTTATATTTTTTAATCAGTAATTTAACTGAATAAGATGAAATTAGTGAGTAAATAGCATGTAATATATATTTTTTTTTAAATAAAAATCTTATTTCTTCTTATCTTACAGACGCACCTCCAGTACTGCTCTACAGTTTCATCGAACAAACTCTACAACCTGGTCCAGCAGTTTCCCTGAAATGTAGCGCTTCTGGAAACCCCACTCCACAAATTTCCTGGTTGTTGGATGGATTTCCATTGCCTAGTCATGGTCGGTAAGTCCCATCATAAATTTATATATATTTTTAATTTTAAATCGTCCCATTGCTGCCAAAAAAGTCACTAACTTACTTTTTATCACTTCCGAGAAAAATGCGTCTAAAGATGAATTGCATTGCATAAAGCTGTTATAGTTAGTAACTATTCGGTATTAAAATAAAACATAAATAGCCAGAAATCGTAGTTAATGACTTTTGCAATCGATTCTCCGCTCCAAAACATAGTTAGTGATTGAATTTGGTTGTTCGGAAAAATGTTAGTTAGTGAATTTTGGCAGCAATAGGACGAAATGTTGTTTTTGTGTGATATTTACATGTAAAACACATTCATTTTATTTTTTTAAATATTTAATATTATGTATACTAATTTTTCTACGTATACAGGTTAAGTCGTAAAGATACTTGCAAATATTTTCACAGGGCTGGTGGATCTCGAGAAAATGATCGAGTTATTTTACTTTGAAAATTTCAAAAAAAATATTTTTCGCTTAAATTTTGAGAACCAACCACTGGACCTTTTCTGGATTTCCTTCTGGTAGATTTAATCTACTACCTATGTTGCCATATTATCAAAAAATTTGTTTTTTAACTAAAAGCTAAAAATTTCCGAAAATTTTTTCAAAACTTCCAAATTTTCAAATGTTTTTTTGGCAAAAATTTTGCATTTATTTAAGACTCGTAAGGCTGGCACCCAGAGTAGGAGGACTTTATTTTCTTTGCCTTATTTACTTAGTTTCTGTAGCCATTCTTTGACTAACTTCGAATTGATGGTTACCGGAGTTGATCTCTGGCATGCTAGTTGTTTCTAAAAAATTTCACGAAGGTTTGGAAAGCGTTTTTCCCGTTTTCCGGTTAAGTTTAAATTAAAGTAGCGATGCCAAACGGATAAATTGTAGTAGAACCGTCGTACGACTATACTGGCTCATAAAAGCGTGGATATCCAGCTAGGTTTTACGATCCGGGGTGGGAATGTGACCTTTCTGGCACCGCCATGCCAGTCAGGGTCTCGTCGCTTTAAAGCCAACGATGAGGAATTGAAAAAGCAAAAAACAACATTTATATTTTCGGAAACTTCATACAGAATTTTGTTTCTACACTAAAAAATAAAAAAAATAACAGAAACAATGAGAAAAAGCATATAAAACTGTTCCATGTTTCACAATTTTACTGAGAAATAATAAGTGAATTTTGAGTATTTTATAATGTCTATTGTTTATTGTAAATTAGCGTATGTAGAAAGTATATGTATAAAGTGATCTGAAAGGAAGCTAAAAATGTAATAATGTACAGGGTGTTTCATTTAAAAAAAATTATCCTGATCCACTCATACTTTTTTGAGTCAAAATTCCTGAAATATATTCTAATGCATACTTTAGGTGTTTTACCTAAACAAAATTTCCAAATTTTTTATTCTAGGAGCTACAGATCCTCGACGCACTATTACCGGACCCTGTATAATAACAAAGTTTCTAAAAAAATAGTTACAGTTGAGGGTTGGAACCTTTGGTGTTATACAGCAAAATAAAAACACTAAATCACCACAATATACCAAAACACTTTTACTTTTACACTGGACGCGCGTTTCGCTAACCATGTTAGCATCATCAGCAGATGATTATAAACTAAAGTACAATCTACAAGTTGAGCGTTTATATACTCGCTCAGTGGGCACCGAGTGGGCGTGGCAAAATCTAGCCATCCAAGTCAGAGCCAACTGAGCGTAACAGTTAGATTTCCGCCACTAGAGTAGTAGGAACAGAGAACTTGAAGGAATTGGACCGTTGTCTCTGTTCATACTATCTTTACATTTATTAATTCTGATGCTTTTATATGCATCTAATTGCCTGTAATTTGAGACTTGTTGAGTGTAATGGATATTCTCCTTCACTAGTTGATAAATGAATTAGAAAACGTAGGTATATTTTAATGATTTCTGAAAATTCGACTTTTCAAGTGGAGAAAGATACGTCTAAATATTTTTTCAATACCGTTTGATAGAGAGTTAAGGATGATTCATGGTACACCGGGCTGTACCCGAGCCGGGCACGTTCCGTAAAGTAGACACCGAGCCACGTCCGGACCTTCAATATATGCTACACCGAGTGGATAACGGGGATCATGTCCGTGCCGATTATATTCTAGAAAACAGTGTTGCCGCAGTGGTACATTTGTACCAAATTTGATACTTTTAATTCTATTTGGTACAGTAGTACTACATTTTCAAATCCAGGATGATTTGGTACAATAATTATTTCCCACGCGCACCGAAATTGAATAGATATTTAATAATTATTGTCGTTGATATTGCATTAAACGCGCTTACCGATACCATTCGGAGAAAATCCGCATTAATTAACGACGTATTATAAACGTTGTAATGTCTATAGCGTTGCCTATATTAAATAACCCGAAGAAAAAACTTGAAAATTTACTGTTTCTAACATGCTTCTATATTTGCGTTTTTTTTAAATAAAATTTAAGTTTTCCAAGTATTGTGTGTAGTATTAGAATTACTTAGAATTCTTCAACCTATACATACTTATAATTGGGTTTTCTGAATTTCTATTTCATGTTTTTCGTCTCGATTTGTGTCTTTCTCCAGGAAGTTTTTTTATGTAGAAATTTATGAAGAAATTCACAGCGACCAAACCGGTTAAAGTCATTTGCAGATGTATTTTGTTGTGCTTTAAAAAATTGTACCAAAGTGGTACATTTTTAGTTTATAATGTGGTACGCGCTAAAAGTTGGGTGCGGCAACACTGCTAGAAAACAGTCGCTATAGGCCCGTAGACGAACGAAGTATTTAGCCGCGGCGGCTCATTTATGTTTGCCGCAACGGGGCCGGACAACAACTCGGCTTAGCATGAATGTATAAGTATAAATAACATTTGACAATGTTTGGCCGTGCCTTCACCGTCGCACGGCCCCCGGCCCGTCACGGTGTACCGTGAATCATCCTTTATCCCGTGGTCTAAAAGGAATTTTTAAGAATGTCAATTATAAACTTGTGTATAGTGCTAATAATAAATTACAACAATTATTAGGTAATCCAAAAGATAAAACACCTCCACTGGAAAGGTCGGGTATTTATGAAATTTCTTGTAAAGATTGTAATCAGAAATATGTTGGGCAAACTAGGAGATCAATATTAACTAGATTTAAAGAACATTTAGCTCAGATAAGATATGGTAGACCGGATAAATCTTGCGTTGCCGAACATATTGTTGATAATGAACATTGTATAGATCTTAATAATTTAAAATTAATTAAACAAGTCTCAAATTACAGGCAATTAGATGCATATGAAAGCATCATAATTAATAAATGTAAAGATAGTATGAACAGAGTCAACGGTCCAATTCCTTCAAGTTCTTTGTTCCTACTACTCTAGTGGCGGAAATCTAACTGTTACGCTCAGTTGGCTCTGACTCGGTTGGCTAGATTTTGCCACGCCCACTCGGTGCCCACTGAGCGAGTATATAAACGCTCAACTTGTAGATTGTACTTTAGTTTATAATCATCTGCTGATGATGCTAACATGGTTAGCGAAACGCGCGTCCAGTGTAAAAGTAAGAAAAATAGTGTTCTAATATCTAGTGTTGGTGGTCTTGTAACACGTTAAGCTTTAATTACACTGTGTCTTCTAGCGAGAAACGATCAATCCGGACGCAATAATCTCTCTACGTTTTAAGCGATGGCAATTTTCGAAAAAAAAGCGTGTCCTGTCCTGCAGCGTCGTGCCGGCCTTTGTCCATTCTGTTCAAAGCGATTTCACGTTCCAATTGGCCGCGCTCTCGATGTCGATCACAAACGAACCGCAATGCAAAAAGGGACGTCCAGCCGATAAACAGCCCTAACGAATTGCCCTACATTCTCTTCTCGTGTAACAGGACAAAATTTCATAGTGTAGAATCCTTTTTTGATTTGTTTTTTTCTCTTGTTTTATATCTGTGAGTTTCTGTGCTTTTACATCTATCTGTGAGTTGTTTGTATGAGTCAAAGACATCTAAAAGGGTACAAACATAGCGGGGCATCTCGACGCGATGCTTGCCAAGATGCTGAAAATAAAAAAAAACGTTTTTTTTTTATCTTTTTTTAACATCTTACTGCTGAAAAGTATCCATTCTAATTTTTGGCATTTCCCTCTGGGCAATAAATTTTCAATTTTTTAATATTGCCGCGACCTTGAGCCGCAATAACAATCTTTTAAAAGCGGAAACCCTTGGAAAAGCGGAAGTGGATCAACTGCTCGCGGAAAAAGGTTCTCCTAAAAGGGAGTTTGGTTTATTTAAGGAAAAGAAGTTCATTTTATCGACTTAATTTTGCTTTGTCTAAGGGATGAAAAATACGACTTGATTTTTCTTGTATAAATTATACATTTTTTAAAAAGGTTCTTTATACCGTATGATTGAAAAAAAATGGCACCAAAAACGGTTGGGGAATGATAATTTAGTAGTACGTGCCTCTAGTATTCACTACAATTTTTTTTCTCTTGTAAAAAAAGGTCACATCGCAAATTTTTGGAGAATTTATTTTTCCAAAAGAGACCTACAAAATATACAGGGAGTTCCAATATTCGGTGGACAAAGAACAACTACGTATTTTTGAATCGAAATAAATTAATTGTTCATAATTTACCTTAAAGGTGCGTCCACATTGCTCGTGATCCTGCTCGCGCTCTTGCTGTTGATTGTGCTTGCGTTGCTCGCGCTTCCTGTTTGTCGTGTTTGTCAAGATCTTTCGGCTCGCAAGCAACGGCGTCCACATTGTACTGTAGTGCTTGCGTTCGTGCTGTTCGGACATGGATGATACGGAAGTATCTTTAATAGCAGCTGCTAGTGCGATCATTATTGCAAAAGAAAAAATCCAAGAATAGCCCCCAAGTATTTGTAATTCTGAACAAAATAAAATAGGAAAAATCATGGTAGTATCATCATACTGCAGTAAATACCGACTTTTTAAGCTTTTTTATGAAACTTATTGTCAAACATGATTTG